AGTATAATCAAACGCGCTGGACAATGATATTAATATTGGAAACCAGATCTACAATAAAAAAGTAGATCAGCAAGAAACTCGTAAATTTACATTAATAACTGACTGAAGCATACAAGAAAATCACATAGCAATTACACAGAATAAATTGTATACCATATCGTACGGAGAAATATATTAAATATATGAAAAAGAATCGACCTTGCAAAATATTTAATTTGTAATTTACAAACGTAGCAATATTTAATTATAAAATACGACTTATTACAAATAAAATAAATATTTCGATTAACAATCATTAATATCGCGTGTATAAGGTAATAATAATACTTCCAAAATAAAATTTATCGTTTATAAAAAACTTATATATATATATATATATATATATATATATATATGTCTCTTTTAAATAATAATAAATATAGAATGGAAATATTTACTGATGATACTTTTGAGAAATGAGCTATCCGACTCCATGTTGTGAAAATAATCTCGCAACAATATTACAACGCGTCTCGTCGTCAGCCATGAAATTCATGCATCGATGGACAATGGCCATCAATATTCATACGATAAAAGCATCAGTGCTCAAATTTCGCGACGTAGCTATTACAAGCTGTTTTCACGACTACCCCATATGTACGCGAATTCTGGCAATTCGTACGGTTATTTTCGTAGAAATGATACATCGCTGCATGCACGAGAGAGGCATACCAGTTCCTAATAATTTATAATATGCGATTATTGCTCGCAGATTTGTGTTTTTCGAATATACGCAATAAATTATGGAACCAAACGGAAATTAATGAAAACTAAATTCCCCTTTTCGCGACTGTGTAATTTTGCGACTGCAGTCACTGAACGGAGAAAACTCGCTTTACAATGAATATTGTTATTCTCCGCATTGCAGGGACATGAACGCGTTATAAACACGCGGATATACGACGCAAAACTGAATTCTCTCTTTTCAAACGAAAATCATGATTGAGCAAATAAGCTACTAAATGAGGGAAAATTGCATCATAGCAGTCGAACGTTACTCCCCCGCTACATGTTATTGTAGGAGTAAAACCTTTGTATAGCTATGGGGATATGAAAATTAGATAAATTAAATAAATTATTGCTTCTAGTCATGCAAATATTTAACAAACAACATGTATCGGAACAGGCGACAAACAATGGGAAAATGAAAAAGGTTTTTGAAGCGAACAAAAACCGACATTCGGAGGTTTATAATCTTTCAATGATATAATTTGTGTCTCACGTTATAACTATAAAATATTTAATTATATGGAAATTGAACGAGTTATAGAAGACGACATTTGTCGATATTATCGATAAAAATCATCTTTTAATTCCTCTGAGAAGCAACATTAATGTTCCATTTTCTGACAAATTAATAATTCGTTTCCAAGTGCGAGAACGTAAAAGCTCATGTATTAAGTCGGCGTATCCTAGAATAAAAAAATAAAAGCCTGATAAAATCGGAAATAAAGCCATAAAAAATTTCTCGACGATCAATGACGGATAGACAGACAGACGGCGGCGGAGTGTGGCCGGCGGCCGTATATTTCGCGCTCCATCGATCGGAGGGCCCCGAACGGGGCGACAAAAGAGCCGGCGACAGTGCGCGACACGGAGTATTTAAAACCGTTTAGCTATAGAGACAGTTAATTGCGCCAATAATTCCACCGATGGAATAATAATGTCGGTATCGCGCGAGATATATCCCGGGGTGAGGTCCAGGAGAATCGCCGCAGCCGCGAGTCGTTCAATGCGCAGCTAGGCACACCTTGTATAATGATATATTGAGCGACGCGTGGTTGTAATGTCGACATTTTGCTTTAATGTATCACAGAGAATACGACGGAAAACAGGGGAGGGTTAGAGGAAGAGAGAGAAAATGTCCCCTAAATATCTCGAATATACGAGAAAGATGAAATGTTCTCCACCTCGATGACATCCTGACGGTGGATATTAAAAAAAGAATTATGGTTAAGAGAGAAATTACTGTCGTGCTAGGTATATATTTTTCGGTACCTGATGTAATTTTAAAGGAATTGAGCAATTTCTATTAATTGTATAAATTTCAAATGAAATATTACTTATATAAAAATAGATATGAATAAATTTTATTTCCATTAAGTTATGATAATTGCTAATAATAGTTTTTTGTCATATAAATAAAAATGAAAGGAATCAATATAAAAATGAAAGGAATCAATATAATATTAATATAATTAATATAATTATTAATATAATTAATTAACATAATTATTTTATTACTATAAATTATTCAAAATATATAATATCATAATATCATCTTTCGTCCTTTGAACGTAAAATATTGTATGTCTTTCGAAATTCGTAGAATCTATAAAAGTCCTAAAGTGAAATATATAATCGTGTCAAAATTTTATATCAGTATAATGTTATGTCTCCGAAATAATATTAATGAGCCGGCGTGTGTTGAATTATACTTTCTAATCAGAAGCGAACGTTTAACCCACATTGGAACGCGCGCGATTAAGTAATTGTCCGTAATAAGAAATTAGCATGAAACGAACGTTAAGTCAGCTGATCCAACAGGCACGGCGGCGCGGTCGGGATTTAATCTGTAATTTATGATAATCTCGTTATTATACTCGTTCGCCTAGATTTTAATTCTCGTTCGTGCTTAAATCGTTCGCGGTATCGTAATATAAATTAACGAATAATACGAGATAACGGGATACGGCAGTAACATTGTCACCGAAAAAGTAAAAGGCGTCTCATTTTCAATATTGCAGCGACTAATAATCATCTATTATTCTTACGTTTAATTAAATATCCGGTAATAATCACGTTATAACGAATTTAAGCATATATAATATGAATGAGCGATTATATTTCTGTCCCTTGAGTTTTTGCCTCATTTTTATAAAAGATCATCGTTTTCTTTAATCCGACTCTAATTTAGCTCTTTTTCGATATAAAATATGTACGTTTTTCTACGCATTAATACATATATCTAGCGAATAGAATCGCAAAATTGTAGGCATCAATAATAAAAATTCTGTTTCTCTCACACAAACATCATCGTCTTTTAGGACAGTATTTTTCAATTTCATTTGACCCATAAACATATTTCAAGAAACATATTTCATGTTTTGAACTCCGGTACATACATATATGTAATAAAAAATTTCAATATATATATATATATATTTTATATATATAAAAAAAAATATATATATATATATATATTTTTTTTTTTCTCTCTTAATACATGTAATAGGGTAGAAAAAATATATTAATATTCAATTTTATGAGCATAAAAATATAAAGAATGAAAAGAGAAATATACGAGAAAGATATCGAAAATATGCTACAAATGTGAGGATTTTAATAAAAAATAATTTTATTTGATTAAATTACTCATGTGTGCAGCTTCTTCTCTTAATTAATTATTCATATTATTAATTTCCATATGTAATCCGGTTTATTATCCCCATGAAATTCTTTTACGCAAAATATCATTATTCTGTTCACCATTTTTATCATGCGGATCTTTTATGACATAGGAAAATAAATATATGTCATAAATCTTCGTCACTTTGTTCGATATATTGTCCTCTTCTCTTTTCTCTTTCGTTATTATCGTTATCATACTCTTCATATTTTTTTTTCTATTTTTTTTGGACACTCGTGCTAGTCTTTCTGTAATCTCGATGAAACTTCATCAAGACTTGACCCATTATAGCGTATTAAATTTATCATCGATTAAATGTGAAATAAAGAAAAAAAAATATCGGACAGTGTGTGCTGGAATTTGATAGAAATAGATTGGGCGAATTAATGCTAATGATAATTAACGCAGATGTTAATACTAATTAAATTCAATTAAATTTTCTGATCAATTAGATTTAGAACGAAAGACAAACTGGACACACTAATCATTAATTAATATTGTTTAAATAATCAAAACCTTATCAGCGAAATGATTTTAAATCTTTTTAAATCTTTCTGATCGCATTAGTTAGTGTTAACATTAATTATTACTAACTATAATTAACTAAATTTTCATTCTCTTTGCATCATTATATAAATTATGTAATGCAATGCAATAATCATATTAATATTTTTGAGATATTATATATATATATATATATATATCTTTATATATATATATTATATTATATATATATATATATATATATATATATATATATATATATATATATATAAATTAGGTTTCACATTATTGAAAGTTTTTATGTATTTTTGTCGTACGTTATTTCTCTAAAACTTACACTATCATAGTTTATGACATAAAAAAATATTATTCCATTCTATAATAATTCCAATAAAAATCTTTATCGAACAGCTGATTACACAAGTGTTACATTTTCAATTTCTTGCCGCCAGATAATACACCAGCTGACTGGACGTCACGTGTTCGCTATTAATGGCTTATTTATCGTTTTTAACCTCCCGTGAAATTGTCGCGTTGTCGAGGTTAAGTTTGTGTGATATTGACATTTTTTTAGCGTCTCTTCACCGGTGATACTTAGTATCGTTGTCGTTGTTTAATTTTTATCATTGTTATTGTTTAATATAATAATATGGACATTGACAGCCGCGGAAATTCGATGGCGTCAATAATATAACAAAGTCGCAAAATATACATTACATCTGTCATTCAACGATAAGTACAGCTGACAGTAGGATGCAAGAGCAATGTTAGTGCGCGAAATGCTATCGTATCGTACGAATGATGACTGATGACCCGTGTTCTTTTGAGGTTAAATATGCCGCTATCATCGTTCCACATTTCATGTATCGTCTATACGAATTTTAATTAATTCCGCGCAAGTAGACGCGCGCGATATCGTGTCACACGTGACACGTAAAAGATTGCGATGATAATGGTGGCATTGGAATAATGACTACGATAGCACCAATTCCTTCCGCATTGAAAAACGATAATGCAAGTTTAAGCGTGGTGCACGCTTCTGTTTCAGCTAAAGTGCAGTATGGCCTTGTTACGTTACGCATGGATTTTAATATTATTAGGTAAGGTGTAAAAAAGTATATATAAAAAGTATATGTTAAAGTATCCTTTGTTGTTGCACTCTAGTCTATGTATTATATGTTATCTTTTATATATTTGCAGCTTTAACATATGTTCAGGGAGCCCTTAAAGTGTCATCGCAGGATTTAAAAGTACTTCTCAATCAACAAAATTCATTTAACATTTCCTTAACGTGAGTATAAATTGTTACGTGTCACTAACTTGTGCTATTGCATCACGCTGTGCTATGAATATTATCGAGTACTTGTGGATTTTATTGGCTATTACGTATTATATTACATGGATTGCATATATATTGCATTTAGGAGCTTCTGTATATATTTGCAATATTGGCATTATAATTGATATCTAATTATATAGTAATAGAAACTAATCTTATATAAGTGATAACAGTATATTAAAACATGTGTATATGACTTCACTCTTATTCTACTTGTATCACTTAATCATAGCATGCTACAATCATGACAGGATTAGTCTTATCATACACTGTAAAAGTATTGATAATAATAAGCGGATAATGATACTCAAACATGATATCATCCCTGGACTTTACACTTTATCGTTCAATTTATGTAGATACTTGAGAGATAGCTAATTCGTTTCATTGTGCGTGAAAATTATATATATATATATATATATATATATTTATTATAATTTTCACGCACAATGAAATGAATAAGCTATTTCTTAAATATATATTAAATATATATTAAATATATATTAAAAAATAATTAAATGTATATTTTTTTGTATTACATTATATCATGTCTCTCTTATTTTTCAGGGAAGCTTTATCTGACACAAATGCAACAGTTATAATAGATATACAGCATCCTGATTTGATATCTACAAAACCATCTAACTTTACTATTACATCGGATGTAAAAAAAAATTGGATTATTTATGTAAAAGGTCTGAGTGCGGGTCACTCAATTGCTAGTGCTAATGTAACTCCCAGTAATATTACAGAGTAAGTATAAATAATGAAGGATTCTGTGAATTTTGAATATTTTAAGTTTTAAGCTTTAATCAATTATTATATATAGTTGTGGCTTATATATAAAAAAATGTTTATGTTTATAATAACAGCTGATCACAAACATTTTATTTGAGTAATGTATTCATCATTAAATATTACGCAACAATAAACAGTAAAGAGCAGAGACCTATGGCATCTATGTCTCTCCTATCTTTATGACTAATTCTGAAAAGATTTTGATCAATGTTACATTCACATTCTATTGCATTGAGCTAAGGCTGCACAGATAGCCTTTTGACCTAAACTTGTCAAGCTGAAACTTGAAGTTTGGTCAGTCTGTATTCAGATTTTGAATGGATTACATTCTAATTTAATACTGTTTAAATTTAATAATGTTTCAACTTGTCTATAACTAATAAAAATGATATCAATATATTTTTCGGTGATGTTGATAAATGTGTGATGTTTATACAATATGTATATATCCTCCCTAGTAAAGTAAATTTTAAATTACTATTATATTGTATATTATATACTTCCTAAAATTGTGGATCTCAAGAAATTATTGTGTAAAAGAAAATCTAATTTAATAATCATAAAAACTGTTGAAAAATGTATAAAATTATCATTATACCACGAGATCAATTACATACTGTCGATTTAAAGTGAGCAAAAATTCTATTCTATTTTTTGCATTATATATTTTACGATATATATTTACATTATATTATTTAATGCATTTCATTATATTCTTTTTTAAAGTAATTTTATTAATATTCCATAAGTGAAATTAATTTTTATTACATATTTTTTTTTAGTTTCTCTCAAGCATTTGTTAGAGTGACTATAGAGAAATCGGATGTGCTGTACCATATTAGTGCTGTGGTTGGATGGATATATTTTTTAGCATGGAGTGTAAGCTTCTATCCACAAATTTATATTAATTATAAACGAAAAAGTGTTGTGGGACTTAACTTCGATTTTCTCTCACTAAATGTTGTCGGTTTTTTTATGTATGCATTATTTAATTGTGGCCTTTTTTGGATACCTGAGATTGAGGTAAGATATTGCTATTTCTTATTATAGAGAAATTTTAAAAATAAAAATTCTTTTACAAAAATACTAAACATAAATAAATAAGATTTAGATCTCTTTTATTACTTTTTTATAATTCAATAGAGTTATTTTATTTTTTGGGTGATAGAACTTAAATTCCTGTTATAAAAAGAAAATAACTGATTAATTTATTATAATATTTTCAGGATGAATATTTTAATCGATATCCAAAAGGTTTGAATCCTGTACAAATCAATGATATATTTTTCTCTCTACATGCAGTATTTGCTACTATTATAACTATCGGACAATGTTTCATTTATGAGGTGATTATAATTAATATATAATAGTTACATAACTGAAACAGAGTTTTTATATAAGATTATTAAATATCATGCTAGACCATATAAATTGAAACATAAATGTATTAATTTTTATTTTAGATTGGTAATCAAAGAGTATCAACGATTGCACGTATTATTCACGGAATATTTGCCACTTTTATATTAATATCTTTGGTATTATCCTTCGTCAACACAATCCACTGGCTAGATTTTCTCTATTACTGTAGTTATGTCAAGCTCAGTATAACGCTTATTAAATATGTACCGCAAGCGTATTACAATTATAGAAGAAAGTCCACAGTTGGTTGGAGTATAGGAAATATATTCTTAGATTTTACCGGTGGCACTCTATCAATGCTACAAATGATACTCAACGCTTATAATTATGGTAAAAATATAGATATATAATTAAACTTATATCTCTTTAGCCTGCGCACATATTCATTTTATAAATTAATTCTCACGAAATATTAATATATCATAATTTTTATCTCAGATGATTGGGAAAGTATTTTTGGAGATCCGACTAAATTTGGTCTAGGATTCTTTTCTGTGGCATTTGATATATTTTTCATAATTCAACATTATGTCCTATACAGGTATGTATGCATGCATGCTTTAATATTGCCTGTGCTTTATATTTGTTTATTCTTGTTCTTCATTTTACTGAATAATTTTTTAAAGATACTGATCCTATCAGTTACCAGTAGAATAATGCATCTTATATGTGAATCATTTCTCATACTCTTTATATAAAACCCAATAAATGTATTTTATTAATATCTTATGCATGCAAGAAGTAAATAGTTTTTAACCCCATTTTATGTTACATTTTTAATTGCACGTTTAAAATATTTATTGATTGCATGATTTTATTAACTGTTAAAATAAATTTATTTTAGTAATTCGCTATGTTAATTATTTAATTAATATCGAAAGATCTTGTATATGAGTTTAACGTTTTCGCGTAAAAATGAAAAATCTTCATTTACTGGATTTTCTTAATCATATATATAACTGTGTTGTACCATTACCAAACTATATTATCCTTCCATCTAATCTACCAAGCTAAGCTATACAATTGTAGATAGAGCGAGACTTTGATTTTACAGATATAATGATGAAAAGGTGATTGACCTGAACGGCAAAATATAACGACATCATCGAGAACTTAATTTCCTTCCTTAAAAATTTTTCCATGATCTACGTTTTATACACGTTTTATGCATTTTAAAAATCATTTCGCATCATTTGCATAAATAATTCTTCATTCGTCATTATCATGTACATCAGATACAATTAAGTAGGAAATAAAGTGCATATATAACGAGTATATATATGCACAAGCATACGTGATATTGAAAAATACGCACATTTTGATATACCCTCTTTTCATCTCAATACTTATTCCACGGAACGTATTTTTTTTAAATTATATATATAGATAAAAATAAATATATGTAGCATATATTATATGTATATAAATATATTTTAAATATATACATATAATATATTTTTTTATTATGAATGCGCGTATGATGTGAAGAAGACAGAGAGACAAATATGTTTTTTTTATAAAGATATCAGTTTTTGTTATGTAATGTTTTTTATAATGTCTTAAAAAAATATACATATATATTTAAATATTCAAATCAAAGTATATATGTTTATTAGTATTATAGTACTGATAAAAGTAATTTATTTTTTTCTTAATTTATAACTCTAATTTGACTAAGTCTCAAATTGGAAAAATAAAATAAATCTTCATAGAATCATAATGCATCTTAGCATAAATTGAAATAACGTCATATCAGAAAAAATTAAAATGAATAATGCTCTTAATCTAATGATCTTATAAGGAACTTGCATTAAATTAAATTACATATTTCATGATATTAAAAATAATTTATAAATAAAGTATTATGAAGTATTTATTATTATTTAATATGTAGCAATATACCAAAAATATAAAATTAAAATATTAAAATAATGATATATAGAAACTTGGGAAGATTTTCTAATGTGTGTAGATAGATTTTTGTTGAAAAGTTACAAAACAATTATTTTTATAATTATATTAACAATAAAATAGCATGTTTTATGCGAGCAATATCTGTCTTGATATAAAATATTATTTTCATTTTTGTACAATTTATCGATTTGTATTTAAAATATGTATAATATATTATTAAAGTATATATATTATATTTTATAAATGTTGTATGTTCCATAGAGCAGAATATGGTAAATATGATAAATAAGGATGACTATATAATATATGCATGAAGCATGTTTCGCATTGATTTTTACATCGATATTTACGTTTAATTGCGGCAAGTCTTTTCCAATTTGCACGAAAGACTGCGGCGATTTTAGGTGAACATTACAATTTGGGAGAGTAATAGTCCAAATAAGTTTGAATGTTGAATAAATACGATTTTGTGTGTGCATTCCCGTATACCGTCCGAATGAGTGCGTATGTATGGTTTTCATCATTAACCCGGGAAATAAATGCCTATCCTTTTACCTCTGCATTACGAGCTAATACGTAAAGATAATATATTGCGTTGTTTAAATGTTTTATTGATAATATATAAACGTTGTTTCTCATATATCTTTTTTGCTATTTTTTATTTATATGACGAATATTTATGCTAAATTATATGATAAATAAATCGATTAAATAATTTGGTGGACAAATTTATATTAGAAATTTTTTATATAATCACGAAGATTTTAAAATTAATTTTACAAATAAATTTCTCTATTGCGTTCAATTTATTATTATAATTTTTCATACCTGATATTGTGAAGTAAATATTAGTTGTGCGAATAATTATTATACGATGTATGAATAATTAATATAAAGGAATTATTTGTACTTTTTCGAAATGTAACGATAAAAAGTAAAAAGTTAAATCGCGTCAATATTTACGCGAACTTTCCCTTATGAAAAGAAAAAGTTGGCCATTTGAATTCCCGGGTTAATATTAAGTTCGCTAACTCGACTAACTCTACTAACCAGTTTAATGCACTCTATGATGACGATATTTAGCGAGAGATTTTTTTCTTAAGCATATACCCGGAGGAGATCGACGAATTTCCGAAATCGCCGCTCGCTACCGAAAGTATCTAAAGAATATGTCGTAATTCCTTTCCTTACAGGAATCGTACCGAGTATATTCACCTGCCTGGCCATTGTCAGGAGAAATCCGAGAGCGAATGCGACGTATAAACACATCTCGCTTGTCGCTACATCAGAACGCTTAAAACAATACTCGTCGCAAACCCTTGTTCCTCGTCGACGATCATCGCCTTCGCACATTATTTTACATATCTCGCAAGAAATTCGCACAGGGGATTCTACGCAAAGCGAAAGCTTCTCCCCCCTTCCCCCTCCTTTCAATTGAGACTGAATTGACTTACCCCGGGGAGAACTGCTCCACTGACGTCGAAAAAAAAGATAGACCTCTGTCTGACGTCGAACCACCTCTCCTTGTGAAAACGCACAGAAACGAATCGCACGCAAAGTCACGCAACGTGTGCTTGCACCGCTCGAAAAACAAAAAAAAATGACAAAACGTCCACCGACGAGCGCACACTGTCCCGCGTTTCGAAACCTTCGCCATGTTCTGATAATCGCAATTCGATACCGGCAGCGCGCGCAGCCTTCGATCCATCGCGCGGGAACGTCACGTCTCGATCGCTCGATTGCGCAGAGCTTCAAGTCGTCGCATCAAGCTGCTCGTCTCGTCGTTCGTTGCGGCAGGTAGGATTTTCTTTTATTCTCAAGTATTCCCGGTGTTCTACGAATAAAAGAATAATTTAAAAATTATTTGTGATTTAGAAGTATATACGTCATGTCAACACGTGTCATTTTCACGTTCTAATGCGATATACAACATAACATAACCTATAAAAACAGTGAACTCTTAGAGTGATGTGTGTAGAATATATTTAAAAATTAAATATATTTATATATTTAATAAAGATATATAATAAATATATTTAATAAATATATAATAATAATATATAATAAATGTATAATAATATATAATATAATATATATATATATAATAAATATATTTAATAAATAAATTAATATATTTATATAATATTTTTTATTATTTATGTTATGTTGTATATTTAGCGCGTAAACGAGGAAAACATGAATTTCCAAGTTGCAAAGTTTCATTTAAAAATTGTAATTTGTGATTATGAGAAGCTATACTCGTTATATCTATCTTGAGATTGCTATAAACTTATTGCTATAAACTTATACTTTATGTGTGAATGTATATAAGTCTCACATTAGTAACTTTACAGGCCTAAATATTTGTTTATTTCAGAATGATTACGTCACTTGCACGAATTGGCAGTTCTGCTATTGGCCAGAGAAACTTTAATTGTTGGACAGCGGCAATTACAAAGAAGCACAGAAGGGTGCATGAACGAACATATCCTACGACTCTTGTTTTGTCAGATGGAAGTAGTATAGAGATCGAGTACCATGAGCCACGAAAGATAATAACTCTCCCGTTAAATATCAAGGAACTTACACCGGAACAACAAAAGAAGCGACTCGAGATGCGTAAACCAAAAAAGAAGATAGTCATAGCCAAGGAAATTGAAGACACTTTTGATGAGAATAAGTATCTCAATTTTAAAAAGTGATGACAGGTATGCCAACTTTAAAAAGTTGTATTTTAAGCGTTTCTGAGAACTGTATTATACGTGCTAAATCTATGTCAAAGTATAAAAATCTAAGGCTAATATAAGGGTCCTTTCTATCTTTCATATATTTTTAGTTTGCTGTAATATTAAATTATTACATATCCATTTCCTCTGGATCATTGAGGAAATGTAAATACTATAAATTTAAATTATTATAAATTTTTGTGTCAAAGCATAGTAGTAGTAAATAGATCTAATCTATTATCACTGTTAATTTGTATCTAAATATTTTTAATTATATATTGCATTTCTTGTATAAAATAGAAAATACCATTTATATGACATGATATCGATATTACATTATTATGAATATTCTAAAAATATAAAATAATGTTTGTAATTCTTTATAATGGCACAGTAATGAATTAATAATGCAATAAAGATTAGGTATGCAAGATAATATTAATCTCTTACTTCCCACGGAATTATATTTTTCTTTCATTACTAAAATTATAAAAATTGATAAAAGGTATATATTTCGTAATTATGAAATAATTATGAAACTGAAAAATGGATATAATAATTTGTAGAATTTTCCTTCAGAGCGTCCTTGAACTTGTCTGAAAAAGAAAGTAGACTATACGCGACGGAAATCGAATTGATTATGGGTTCAAACCGCTTTCGAATAATATTCCTCTCTCAATGGGCAATAATCGTTCGGGCAATAAACCCGTTTTCACATCCGGATGAGGGAACCGCATAGTTGTGGGAGCCACGAGTGAAATTTCGTTGTAATGCGCGTATGACGTATGTCATGACGAATTGCAACAGACATTAAATATTCGTTAAATAAATTTTCATCGCTTCGATTCAATGTATGCGATTCGCGTTTCATTTATTTTATTTATTGAGAATTATTTTATTAATTATACTATAAATTATTCGATAATTGAACGTCAGTCCATTTGTGTACGCATGCTACATTTTACAGGATTCGAGATAGAACATATCGAAACATATACAATATGATTGCCGGTTATTAGACGATAGCGTATTCTTCAAGTGGCGCACGTGCTCTGTTATTTCTGCGGTATGTCGCGTGACAAGAGAGGTTTGCCACGACCGACGTCGACGGTCATATCGTTTGTTTTAAAGCGATTTCCTTCGTGACTTTCTCCGATTCTCGCCTTCGCACCACGGAACGCACTTTTCGTCCTCGCGCTAACCGTAAATAATTACCGGACGAAACGGCGGATGAACTTTCGACGACGTGCTATAATTGAAAGTCTCGTTGTTGCACTAAAGATGAGCGAAAGTGATGGATTAATATAAATGTCTTTACAGCCGATGTTTACAAATTTATTCGATATTTATTTGCGAAAGACAAACGAGCCGAGTGTGTTGTCAATTTTTCATGACTTTTTCGATTGACATAATATTATCTGTACACATAAAGCTATAGTATAATTGATATTATGCTACATTTTTACACGATTCCTAAATGGAAAAAAGAATATATGCTCTATATGTATATACATTTTTTTTTAATTTACTAGTATAAAAAATTTTTCGTGACTTTTTCGACTGACAAATGTTATCTATACACATAAAGCTACAGTAATGATATTAAATGATATTGTGCTACATTTTTACACGATTCCTAAATAGAAAAAAGAATATATACTACATATGTATATACATTTTTTTTTAAATTTACTGTTATAAAAAATTTTTTATGACTTTTTCGACTGACTAATATTATCTATACACATAAAGCTATAGTGTAGTTTTTACACGATTCCTAAATAAAAAAAAGAATATATGTTATATACATTCTTTTTTAATTTACTAGTATAAAAAATTTTCGATATGCGCGGAACGATTTAGGAAAAAAAAACATGCCAACACGATTATTAAAATTTTAAGAAATTGAGAGATTACTTTCTAAAATTTTTTATTTGTATAATTATATTTATTATATATTTATATTGCATGATACACACGATTCGATTACATTGGAAAATTTTATACGTTACCAGCATATTGAATTCGGCTAGAGATGCGTGATACAATGTATCAGTGCGTCCATCGAAACAATTGTTGCATGCACTTTCGATCGCGGTGAAATCATCATTGCGACAGAAGTGTGAAAATTGTTAGGCAACAATATGGGGGATAGATGAACTATCTACAAGGTGCTGAAACGCGACCAGCATACAATCATATCATCAAAGCGCGCTTTGAATATGCTATTTCGACGAACGTTATTAATACATACATTACACTCGTCAGTACACTCAGAATCGATTATCAGCTGACATTGTTCAAAGTCAAGCGACTCAGTATTGTTTAACTGATAATACGTATACATGGAAAATGGAAGTAGTACATTTAAATATCCTAGTACATTTAAAATGATAGGAAAAGTGACCTTAATTGATATATTTTTTTTTAAATTAATCCAATATATTAAAACCCAATATATTAAAAAAGAAAAAGAAAAAAATTACGCAGCATATGCATCTGTATTCCACTATGATAATAAGTGAATTTTTTGGAATATAATAGAATCGTGATTATGTTAATATAAAATATATAATGAAATAAGAATTCAAATATAATAATCGCTACGTCTAAAATTAATGAAAATTAAAAAAGAAATTCTCATATTTTTATTTTCAAAGTTTTTTTGTTATTACTCTTAGTTTAATTCTATTTAATTATTAATAATAATTAAATTAATTTATTTATTATTAATTTCTTAATTATATAATTTATTATTATATATAATTTATTATTAATTTCTTAATTATTAACTATCCATAATTATTATTTCATGATTTTTCACAAAGATATAAATATCTGAGAAATATTTTATACTCCGATATATATTTTAACATAATAAAAAATACTATTGCTAAAAAGCTTAGTTTGTATAGTTCAAAGGAAAAATTGCAATTTGTAACAGAGCGAAATTCTTATGCTATTATATAATAGCACGCGAATTATTGTCTATTTTGTGTAATTATCTACATATCGTTACACATTGAATGTCATTAATATAGATAGTACACGCACTTCCTATACATATAATATAACATTCCCTGTTCCGAAAAAAAAGATGTCTTTTTTATAATAATATGATTTTTAATACACACACGTACAATGCAAAGACATAATTGCACAAGCGCATAAATATCATTATTTTATAAATATCAAATGTAGAATTTATATATATTCATAATGTAAATGTATTCATAGAGATGACTGTAATAATGAATGTTTATATGATATGTATTAATTGCATCTTCGGGAAAAAAATAAAACTAAGAATATTTTCACGTCTCTTCTACATTTGATATTTTCGATAAACGGGTTAAGTTGTCTTACGCCACTTTTTTTAATGTTATTATTTTTGAAGTTCTGAGAAAAAAGAGAGAGAGAGAGAGAGAGAGAGAGAGAGAGAGAGAGAGAGAGCACCCTTTCTGGTTACTCCTGAATACGGTTGTATGATCGCGTTCGCGAGGTGGAGGAGAATCCGCGAAGTGGAGGCACCAACCAATTGACTGACCGCTCGTTGCAAGACACGACGCTTAAACACCGTTCTCTGCTCATGGTACAGGTAAAGAGACGGCGTAACATTACGGTGGGAGTCAGTTCTGTTATAGTAGGCCACGAGGCAGCAACTCTCATGCTTCTGCAGGCCTTGCTCGTGAACAACTCCGCATACGGCTCCGCTCTCTCTCTCCTCGTTTCTGTTCTTGCGAGCGCGAGGCGCGTATCGGGTACCACCGCACCGTGAAAATCATCGCGAGTTTATGCCGTTTCGAGAAATCAATTTGAAGCACAGTCTCCCAAAAAAAAAGAAAAAAAACAGCGCAAAGATTATGTGTAAAATCGATTAACTTCGAATCCGCTTTCTTCCCTCGATCTCGAAATTGCTCAGCCGTTTCGGCTGATTCGACGTACGACAAGAGAACGTGACACCTGGTTGTTCGTTCATGAGTGATCATACCTGTGTCGCAAATATGTCAGGACGTTGGTAATAAGAACGAGTTTGCGCAAGCGACGAATTCGGAATCCGAGGTTCTTTCGTGGCGGAGAAAGCGGATGGCTTGAGTATACTCAACGAATGTACGCCACGGCGCAGCTTTTCCTATTTCTATTTCAATCTCTTTTAACTGCAAAAAAGAAGAGGATAAACAGGATGAGGAAGTTGTTCCCATTTTGCGATTTAATTTTATTACATTAATTGGATGGTTATATTGAAAACTATCACACAAACTTTCGAAAGAGTTCTTATCAATGGGGCAATCGTTCGATATCAATGTATTAGAAAAAGCGAATAAAAATTGATCTTACAAGAGAAAGAAAAAATTATTTGGCTCTTGAGGAAAACAAGGATTTATTTTTTTCCCGCGATAAAGATAGAGTCTTATATCTTGCTGATTTTTTCGACGAATTTAATAAGAACGCAAACAGAAGGCAAACTTGTCTTCGCATCTTCTTGATGCGATCCGCCGTGGCACGATGGATTTCTAACTGTCTATAATAATGGTGGACTTTTGAAGAAGTTTCCGGGATTGTCCAAAGACGTGAGATGATTGGCAAACTTCTTCTGACTCTTTGGATATTGCAATGGACCAGTTTTATCGGTAAGCAATATTTTAATTATAGATATTATATATATAATTATCTATTTTTTGATTTGGTTGTTTATATTGTCTATGTAAAAAACAACAATAATATTTAGACTTATATAAAGACTAAGATTTTTAAAAATACAATTATGCGGATTGAACATCTTAAAAGATAAATAAAAATTGCTTGACATACAATACGACACAAAAAAATATTTTTTTATAGGTATATTTTTTTATATGAACGTATTTGTCTTAACGTGTCGTTGTAAATTTAATGTGAATTATTATATTTATAAAAAAAATTTGTTCATGTCATTGTCGTGTAATACAAATCAACACTTAAGGCTATCTAATTTGTATAAGCGTCTTTTAAATGCCTTTTTTATGGCATCTGTATACGTCTTTTATATATATGTTTTTCAAGTACACATACATTCACGACCTAAATTTTCTTTTCGAAAACTAGAAATGCAGGTATTAATCCTTCAAATGTGTGTCACATAAGTATTACTGTATGCTTTATTGAAAATTCAATTTCGATAAATTCAGCGATACACCCAAGTAAGTCACTGAGTCAATATCCGATAGCTAATATTTATGAAAAATACTAACACATTGCAAGAGAAAGTCATGTTTATGAATGGAATAGTTACATATATATCATATATATATATATTTTATTATATATATATATATCATCCAATTTGAAAGTATTATTCTGTTGCCTTGTTCAGAATTATTAATTATTAATATTAAACTCTTTGGCTTAAAAATGGAAAAATAGAAAATAAATAAAACAACGATTATTAATAAAATAGTACAATAATTATTTAAAAAAATAGATATTTTGTGTTGCTATGCACACAGTTATAGTAAGATATAGAAACATTTTTTCGATTAAATGAGCAGAAAAGCTTAATTTTATTTATATACATTATCTATATCTCTATACCTGACTAAATTGCTTAAATTAATTAACATTAAATAAATACTACTTGTTTTATTCGTTACTACGTTTTTATGTTTCTCGTTAAAATTCGTTTCTATCTTTCTAGACTTATCGAAGAAACGAAGCACTTAAATGTATTTACGTAAAAATTTGCATCTCAATGGATAGTTTTAAATTTATGCGAACGTTGCAATAAATTTCGCAACTTCAAATTCAAATAGCTTTTTCGACTGTCATACATTCATGTCTATTATGGAATATTATGCAAATGTAGTGTCTTTATCACTTAATTTTCTCACAATTTTGAGTACAGTTTTACCTATAGAAAAATAAGAAAAAAAAGCAAAATTTCTTGAACTTGCCATACGCCTTGAGATATGTCAAGGTAATACAGCGTAAAGTTTATCTATTATCTTATACGAGTGATAGAAATAAAGAAAAAATAAAAAAAATAAAATGTAAATATATAAATGTAAATATATAAATACGTTGATTTGAAAAGATGAGTATAAAGTATGTTGATATTATTTTACTAAAAATATACATTTGTAAATTTGCTTGTGTGCTCTTTAGGGTCAACGAAAATAAAATTAGCAGTAAAGAGAGAGAGAGAGAAAGAGAGAAAGATTTCAAGTATAATGACGTGTAAATTTCACGGACGCGTTGCCGCAAGAAGCGTTCAGAAAGGTTACTCTGACAGTAGTGAAAGCGACATGTTCGCGTACTAATATTATATGCACGCACGTGAGATACGTCAGAGATTAATGCAATGATCTCGGAAGATCTCGCACAATGATACATGCATGGATGCACGACTAGATTTCTGACTTCATATCAGCAGAATTTTATAATTTATTTTGATTTAAAATCATCAATTTTATAATTAACAAGATTATTATTTTAAATTATATGAGAATTGTTATGTTAGTTTTTATGTGATGGTAATGAATAAATATTATTCATAACTTGATAACTGATAACCGATCAAAATTATTCAGAAAGTTATGAAAAATAATATATAATACATCTGTATCATGTTATTTAATATAACAAAGTACAATAAAGGTTGTTCCGGATCAAATTTAATTTATAAACAATTATTCTCTGTAATATATTTCAAATTCTTTCTTTTTATAAAATTCAATAATATTTGAAGATTTATTCAATTTTTTTTTATTTCTATCTGAATAATTTTTAGTTACATTTCTGTAAATGAATTGAATGAATTCTTTATTACTTTCGTAATAAAGAAGAAGAAAGAATATAATTCAACATGATATTTTACATTTCGCGATTTCTGTAAAATCGTTTGCTTGTTATGGTTACGCCCGTAAAATTGCGGCCGATTACTTTTGTTTATTATTTTAGCAAAATAATTTTAATCGTTTTAATTTTAATCCTTTCGCGATAATCATATGCATCTGCTTTATGCTCGTAAGAACGCGAAAATTATTGCGAAAAAAAAACAAGAATATTTCTTTAAAAGCATCAAAATTTTTTTAGCTATTCGAGGAAAGTCAGATCCTCATTAATCTTCGCGTTATATGACATCTCATTTATGTTAAACATACTGAAATTACTGCGAAATGCGCGTGGAATTAATTGGCAACACTCTCTTGCCACTATTAATTATCCACCTCGAGTTATTTTTTAGTGTAATTAAATATTCAAGTAACATTATATCTATAGATTTCGCGTTATCTACCACTTTTTTTTATAATCGAGTATATTCACGTAAAAATATTGCTGTACCTTTTTGTCTATTAATTCATTGATAGTAAAAATGTTTAGAAATCGAAGCTTTATGAATCATCTTTATAATATTTGATCCTATGAGTCAACACAAGTTTAATCTTTTTTTTTTATAAATCGTAAACTTGGAATTACCTTTCTCTAAGCAATCAATTTCTCGTGTAACGCGAGAGAGGAAGATGGAGATCGATACACTCGAGAGATTGTATCTCTCAAAATCAAAGAGTAGCGCTCGTCTTCAATTAGGTTTAGTCTTTTCGTGCTATCCATTTATCTATCTGTCGATAAATAATCGCCATTCAATATATTATTTAAGATAATGTCTTGCAGAAAACATACATTTGCATATTAAATATCAAACCAGAATCACTATGTAAAATGAAAATATGCGATAAATATAGTTTTTATATTGATATTTATATTGATGCGATAAATATAGTTTTTATATTGATACACACTGATTAACATCATAATCGGTTACGTCCAATACCAGTCTCGTGGATAAAACAAACATGAATTGAAACATGATTTGCAATTAATGACATCTTTATATATTACTGTCACAAAGTTTTGAATAAAATTAAAAAAATTCTATTCAACGGGATCGAAAGAGAAAGTTCTCCAAAAGCATTGGCTCTTTCTATCTAGGTCGTAACAGTCATTGTATGCGGTGCATAAGTAAATCCAAATGGCTTTTGAATGATTGAGCAAAGGCTTGGCTAGCATTATTCCGAGAATTTATACCTCTACGCTTTCTCCAAAATGACAAAATGTATCGAACACATTTATGCTCTGCGCAACATCAAGATTAATAAATGCTTATCGTACATGTTGTTTGCTTCTTTTTATCAGAATATTGATTGGCATTTTAACCAACCCGCCAATTGGGTCATCGTTTCATTTTATCCCACCCACGAGATTTTGTGGAACGGTCAAAGTATAAAAAGACCAACAAAGCCGGTAAATGAGCGATTGATTTTGCAATGACGGGTTTGAATGCCCGTTCTGGTGTAAATTTTATTTTTGAAAGTCATCGATAGTCATTAACCCTTCGATACCCCTATAGTTAAGAGTGAAAGGAATGAAGCCCACATACATATACTTATTTACACATAACAAAGATTGTTGCGCAAACTCGCATGTAATGCACTTTGAAATGGCACATGTGCCAGAAAAACAAATTTTGTGCAACGATAACTTGCGCAAGCTATTACATAAAATATATATTCGAAGGAAATTTACATTATTTTATAACTGAATAATTTATTCATGAAAAGAAACTTTAAGATCTCATATCACCTCATATAACCTTCATATTTGCTGCAAGAAAATATAAAAAAAGGTTTTTTTTCTCTTAGCTTTAACAAGTACTGTACATAAAATTTTGCTACACTTCTCAAGAATTAATTAAAAAATAAGAAAAAATGATCAACAAATTATCAAGAAATTATCAACACAATCAAGAATCATAAAATGACAGAAGAAAGCATTACGTCTAAACAAACGGAAACTCCGGGACGTCTGATTATCGAATCACCTGCGTAATAGCAATTTCATCGTCGCTCAAAATTAGCTTCCTGCGATCGCATTATGCTATATCGTTAGCTCGTTTCATAATTATATTTGACGAAACCCGGATTCCGGAAGACGCGCGATGACGTTTTCGGTTCGTCGGCTGCAACGACACTAAAATCGCGCAGGAACGAACGAACGACGAAAGAAAAAGCGGGTAATTATTTCCAGTCTGTGCGCGACGTCCGTCACGTCGTCAAACGGAAACGGTTTGCTGATGATTACGGTAGCCCCAATCCTGAAACAATCCCGCAATTTCTTTGTTCCTCTCCGAGATGACATTGGACTTACGATATATCGAACAAGAGATTTTGCGAGCAACGCTTGATACGAAGATGCGATCTCCTGATGAATCTTGGTGAGCTCAATATCATCTCGAAACACAAAAAGGTCTCTTTCCTCGCAAGATATTGTAAAATTATAAACGCAATTATCAACGCGAACGACAAGAATTCCATCGCTAATTCGTACTACTTTCTATTTGAATGGCTTGATCGTACGAGCGTTATAAATGAGATAGCAATCTATCTATTTTTTGTCTTAAATAAATAAAATGCTGGATTTATCGATACTTTCTTTACATGTCTTGGCGTGGCATGTCGATATATGATCGTTGGCGCATCGTATTTATGTTATAAAAAAATGTAGGATATAAAATCTATATGAACAAATTACATTTTATCATTTCTCCTTCTTCTGATCTTCCATATAATAACGCACTATAAATTATCCGACTATT